TTCTCCCTCTGACCCTCTCCCCTCTCATGTGCTCTCGCTCTCTCTCACTCTCTCTCTCAAAAAAAAAAAAAAGTTCCTTTCTGGCAAGACCAGTATCTGAGCATCTCTTGCAATGTCCAGAGCACAGTGTGAGAGACAATAGGGCCTAGCAGTCTGAAGCTTTGCAGTTATAGAGACGTGTTCAAATCCTAACTCTTCCTAGCTGTAAATTTGGGCAAGTTATGTAACCTAACTGAGCTGTAAAACTGCGATAACATTATCCACCTGAGAGAGTTACTTAGCGGATTAAACGAGCTAAGGTACGTAAGGTCCTTGGCCCAGTGCCTAACACACAGTAAGAGGGCGACGGTGGTAGTTACTGTTACTACCGCCGTGGTCGCGGGTCCCGCACACAGCGGCTCTCAGAATCCGGGGGAGGGGTCTCTGAGCTGCTCCAGCGGCCCTCCAACCTGCCTCAGGCCTGGGACGCCCCCGGCGTGCTTCTCCCCTGCCGACCCACAGGCAGCCCCCTCCTCCTTCCTTCCCGCGGAAGCACCCTGCGCTCACGGGAGGCCCTTTTCCAACTGCGCCCCGCGCCGGGCCCCTTCCCCAGAACCCCTCCATTCCGCCCCGCCCGCCGAGGTCACGCGCTCCGAGTTACCATTTTCTTGCTCTCGGTGCCACGGTTCGCCTGCCTAGACATGGTGCCAGCCGCCCTACCCCGCCTCGCCACAGACCCTCTCGGCGACCCCTGCTGACACCTCTCGACCCGGCCGCGGCCCCTCAGCTTTCGGGACTGACCGGCACCGACTCACCGCGCCTGCGCGGCCTGCCGCGGGGCACCACGGGACTCGTGGTCCGGGCCGACGAGGGTATTTCCCGCCCAATAAACGTCAGACTACAACACCCAATAGCCCCAGTGGCAGCACCGCTGGACTACAACTCCCAGAGTGCTTCGCGCGCGATTGGGTCTTAGAGCCTGGCTCCCCGCCAGGGCTGCCTTCTGGCCACTGGGTGGCGTCCGGAGCTTGCGGCAATCCTGTATCGTCCACACACTTCCCTCTCCTGCCATCCCCTCACCCTCACAGATGCTCCGCAAATTCCTGTCTCGATGGGTTGGTCTTGGAAAGTCCCCCTTTCGAACTAGCTTCTTCCGCTGTTGGGGCAGTTCAGAGCCAGAGGCTCCCAGGAGGTCCCAAAAAACTAGCTATGGCTCATACACAGATCTGGCTTCTTACTGCAAAAATATTTAATGACAACCTACTGTGTGCCAAGCATTTCACTAGGAGCTTTCTCTTCAAGTTGTCATCTGTCCCCAAACTCCAAAAGCAGCCAGTACCTGCATCCTACCACTGTGGCCTCATGATGGAATACCCAGTCTGTATGCTAAAATTCAGGTCACTTTGTTCCCCTCCCTCCCCAAGGACAACGACACTGCCTGGTCCCTGGAAAAGAAAGATCGCTAGAGTTGGTAACAGCCAGTCCTGGATTTTAAGCTCAGCTTTGCCATTTTAGTCAAGTTGCTGGATCTCTCCCAGTTGTTGTGAAGATTGGTCAGACAGGAGTGCAGAGCACTCGGGCACAAAGTAAATGCATATTCCCTTTCTTCCAGCCACTCTCTCAAAACAGCCCAACAAACAAGTCCCAGAAATACCAGGGATATGTGCTGGCCACACCGTCACCCATCGCCAAGGGGAAGTCCTACAGTCCCTGACCATAGCTCTTTAGTTTCACTCCAGCCACCCCCTCTGGCTGGTCAATTGTGAGAGGGCTGGCCTGGGAGTCCCTGAGCACCCTCTCCTCACTTAAGCCTGGTAGCCTGACTCTGTAAGCAGCTGCATTCTAGCCCCTAGCCTTCACCATGACAACCAGCCTGCCCAGACGTGAGCCAGCCAGGCTGGGGAAGACTGGGGGGCCCAGGCTGCTCCAGCTAAAAGCCAGTTCCCAAGATTACCCCAGTGTCTCCCTCAGGGTGCAGGACCAGTCATTATTAAACCCTTCTCCCTGCGACACACACATTCTGGGCCTCCCTAGAGGCAGTGACCTTTGACTCCCCCCTCCTGTGTCAGTGCTTTGGCTGAGAGTTCTGGGAAGGAACAGGAGGGTCCGCAGGGGTGGCAGTGGGGGTGGGGGTGAAGCCAGGGTCGGCTAGGCCCCCAGAGGCCAGCATCGCCAGGGAAGGACCTCCTGCATTCCCAGGAGAGAGGACAGCTGAGGTGAAAGCTGCAGTTGGCTGGCCTGTCTGTTGGTCTGGGCTCCTCCCTGCTGGCTGCCCTTGGCTGCCCACAGAAGCCTGAGTCACAGTCACGGCCAGCCACCCGACCCCACCCAGCCTCCTGTCAGGCTGGGTGGTTCTGGAGAAGCTGGAGGTGGAGCCTCTCCCTGCCTATCTTAGGACCTCTGAGATTCTTCCTCTGTCTGCCTATGATTGTTCCTTTTGGAGTCTTTTTCGTTGGGACTCCTCCTTGCGTCACAAGTCGTGAATTAAGGATGGGGGTGGGGTCCATTTCAAGCTGATTTATAGGGTCTCCTCCTTGCTCAGATGGGAACCTAAACCTCCTTAGACAGCTGCTCCAAGAGTTCTCAGTACCGCTCCCATCATTCCCAAATCCCAGTCCCTTTCCATCACTGCTCAGGGCCAGGACATTAGGAACGCTAGGCGCCTCCTCCCCACCCTCGTTTCCTTCTCCCTAGAAAAAACTACGGCAGGGACAGTTTCCCATTCCTAGCAGGGGCTCCAGACAAAGACCCTCCCAGAAATCCAAAGCGTTGAGCCTATTTGATCCTGGATCTGAGTTCCTCCCCCTTCCAATCTGTCCCTGTTCCTTCCCCTCCCCAAGCTGGAGGGAGGGAAGCCTTGTTTGCAGCTGGTGTCACTACCGCCCTTGAGGACATTCTCTACCCTCAGCTCCAGGGAGCGGGCTTGGAGGACTCCCCAGGAGAGGGGTATGGGTTAGAGACCCATTCACAGTGCAGTGCCTTGGGGGTGGGGTAGGAGTGAGAGTCTGGTGTCTGTTCTGTCTGTTGCCCCCACTATGAGGCCCCTCCCACTTCCTACTTTGTGAGTGTGGAGGCAGCCTCCAGGGCCTTGGTCCTGATTCATCTCTCTGATCTCTGTGTCAATCTCCCAGTGATTTCCTTCACCCCTCCATCAGGTTCATCCTGGACCCTGCCCCACCAAACCTAGGAGATTGTAAATGCTCTTGCTCCTACCCTCCCCCTAGGGGGATCGGAAAGGGGACATATTTCTGATCCCTGTTCAGCGACCTGCCCCCTAGCCCCAGCCCAGCCTCATGGTGAGAGGAACAGCTCATTCATGATTGTTTCCGAGGAGGAGGGGACTGCCCTGGGCGGTAGGGGAGGCACAGGGGAGCTGACAGAGTTCCCTGCCTCTCACCAAAGAGGGCAGGGCATCCTGTTGGGGCTTTCAGTCCCTGATGTTGCAAGTGCCTCATTTGCTCCTTTTCTGGGATGTCTAATATTCGGGGGGGGGGGCGTGTGAGGCTCCCAGACACTGTCACCCAGCCTCAAACTCAGAGAGACACACACTCCAAATCTTCTCAGTTGCTAGGGCCTGGGATCTGCCAGGGATCCTGGCCAGTCCGGGGTAAATGGAGAGGAACTGACTCCATCTCTCCATCTGTTTGTTTCAACTTAATCACAGGACACTGGCGCTCTCCTGGCTCTCCCTCAGCCATCCTCCCAAGACTCACTCTGGACCCCTCAGCTGTACAGGAGGCCTGGGGCTGGCCAGGAGGACTGCCCGTCAAGTTGGCTAACTCCCAGATGTTTTGTCCCCACCACTAGCATCTTGTAAAAGGGGGTATAGGTGCCTCCACCTACAGTCTAGGGAAGAGTTCCTCTGTGTTGGTACCATTGACATTTTGGGCCTAATGATTCTTTGCTCTGAGCATTGTAGGATGTTAAACGGCATCCCTGATGTCTAAGCACTAGATGCCAGTGATACCCCCAGTTCTGACAACCAAAAGTGCCCTTAAACATTGCCAAATGTCCTCTGTGGGGCAAAATTGCCTCTCTGGTTGAGAACCACTGACATAGGCTATAACACCACACACTGTCTCTTTGCAATGATCCTTCAAAGTCAATCTCAGATCACTAGACACAATAGAGAATTTCCAGTTCTAAAGCACTACTCACCCCTCCCCTTGCAAAAAACCTTCCACGACTCCCCATGATCAATATCATGTAGATCATGATGTCAATTGGCATTCAAATCCTCCTATATCGACCATCCCTGGCTATCTTTTCATCTTTAGCTCCCATCGATTTCCCCCTCCACTATTGTTGAGGTCTAGCCAATGAAGGGATCTCACTGTTACCACCCAGGGTCTTCATCCTTGTAGTCATCTCAAGTTCACTGAAGAAGAACTATCCCAGAGGGCTCCCCCACCACCACCCCTGTTAGGTTCTGTTCATGAATTCTGAGTCTACTCACTGCCCCAACCTCACACCTCCGTAGAGTCCTAGAGCCTAATCCCTGCCACCTCCCTGACCCCTGGGGCGTGGGCTCAGCATGAAACAGTGTCTGTGGGTGCGGAGAGCCCAAGACAAGGCGGAGGCACTGGCCTGTTCACATCTGGAAGATGCAGGCCCTGAGGACTCTGACCTCACAAAGCACAGTCCTGGACTGTGGTCCCCTCACCCTGCAGGTGGGATGGCTGAAGACAAAGATGGGGGCTCTGCTCCTCCTCCTAATCTGCTTTTATCCTTAAAGCTCCATCATCATCACCATCATCATATTTATTACGTACTTCTTACTTATATGCCAGGCTCTGTGCTAAGCACTTCATCTGTATTGCCTTATTTAACTTTTAATGACCCCATGACACCTCACGGTACTATCATTTTCCTGATTGTATCAGTGAGCAAACTGTGTTTCAAAAAAGTTAAGATAGCTTAAGGTCAGCCGCTCCATTTGCAGGCTTTCCATCATCATCATTTTCTAATGATTCGGGGCTAGAGGCAGCACTATTCCCTCCCGGGGGGCCCTTCCAAGAGAGTTCAGGCGCCCCAGCTACTCACTCCTCCTAGGACAGGCTGCTCCCAGGTCGCCTGAGACCCAGACCCTTTTGTTCCCCACCCTCCCCCTTGAAATGGCTGCTTTCTGAGGCTGTTCAAAGAAGACACTAGCAAGGAAGAGGGGCAGGAGGCTAGCATCTCACTGGGCCTAATCTCCCGACAATGGAGAACCAGAGAACTGACCTTCTAGAGGTCAGGACAAAGGGCAGAGAGGGGGTGGCAGGGTCCAGCTGTGCCTCCTCTTTCCTCCCCTCTGTCAATCCCTGCAGCACCATCATCGATCCACCTTCCCAGCAAGTTCCCCCCCACCCCCCCACCCCCCGCAGGCTGGCCAGACTTGGCTTCAGGCCCCACCTCCGCTGGCACTAACAAGGGGACCCACCTCGAAGAGCTGGGAAGCAGGGCTACGGGGAGGGGAGTCAGAAGGGGCTCACTCCCTCCTTGACAGGCCACAGGGGAGAAAATCCTTCCGGAGAGATTGGAGGGGTCGCCCGATGGGGGTGGGGGAGGGTCAGGACCAGGACCACCCAGTTTGGAGCTGGGAGGGACCCAGCAGATTAGAGACCTGGGTAAGGCATTGGTGCGGGCCTGTAATTACCCCGGAGGAGCAGGGAAGACACCAACCATAGGATGCTGGAGGAAGGGCAGCAGCAAGGCTCCTGGCCTCTCCCCATCCCAGCCATCACCAGGGGAGAGAAAGCAGAGCCCTTTTAGGGGTCTCCTTGGGACCCTCCTTCAGGTCTCTCGACATCTCCCGATCGGATTTGGTTTGACGTGGGACTGGGAGAGAATTTGGATTTGAGGCTACCGCCAAGGCGCCAGAGCCGGAGCCCTCAAGTTCCAGGTTGGGATTGGGGGCTCCCAGCCCCGCTCCCTTCGACTCCCCCCAGTCCAAGCGGCGGGTGAGTCACCAGAGCGCTCCCTACATAGCCTTCTCGCGCTGTGGCGCGTACCAACGCGCGGCCGCAGGGGGAGGCGGCGGGACGGGCGTGCTCGGGGAGCCGTGGCGTCCACTCGGCCGCAGCCGCAGGAGAGGCGTCCCGAGCTCGAGGGCCCGCGCTCCGGGGCGGAGGCGGGGCGGGGCGAGCGAGGCGGGCGCGCAGCGGCTCGGGTCCCGGACGCTGGGTGGTGGGGGGGAAGGCCCTCCCCGCGTCGCACTTGGTACGCGCCAGCGGGGAGGCCAGGCCCAGCCCGGGCGGTACAATAGGGTTGGGCCGCGGCCGGGACTGGGCCGGCGCCGGGCAGGGAGCGGGATCGCGGTCGGAGCCGACAGACACTGGGCGGCCGGCGACTCCGAGCCTCGCAGGCCACCAGCCGAGGCAGCCCCGACCGTCTCCGGAGCGCCTCCGCCTCCGAGTCTTGCCCGCCGGGCAGGGCCGGGCGTGATGCGCCGCGGGACCCCTGTCCTGGCCGCCGGCCGCCGCCGCCGTCGCCGCTGAGACCCCAAGACCCCCAGTGACGCCGCGGCCATGGAGAGTGGCCCACATGCAGATCCGGGTGCCGGCGCACCCCCAGGTATGCCGGGAGCCACGCAGAGGCGAAATGGGGGAAGGTCGCGGGGCCTCGGGAAGGCCGAGGAGGAGGCCAACCCGCTGGGCGGGGACCCCTCCCCCGCCGCGCCCTCTGACCACTTGGAAGTTTAAAAATAAAGGCTGCAGCGGCGGCGGCTCGGGCCACCGACGCATCCTCTGACAGCTGCCCCCTCCCCCACTCCGGGCGCTAGGACGCCCTGGGCGGCGGGATCCTCGAGGACCCCGCTCCGGAGTTGTTGGGGTGACCCTTCCGCCCCGGCCCAGTGCCACCTCGGTTGCCCCGCCAACACCCCCTTTCCGGCCCTGATGGTCCTCTTCAGTTGAACTGGGACGTCTGTCCCCCTCTTCATCCCGGGTGGGCAAGGGTGACCCCAGCCTGAATGTGTGTGTTAGGGGTCCGGATTCTCAGGCCTGGAGTCCTGCATACCAAAGCCTAGGCCTTTGGCGCCCCCCACGCCCAGGCCCTGGCCCAGACCTTGCCCCCACCCCATCTCTCCAGCTGCCGCGCAAAGGGCCTGTTGCTGCTGCGAGCCGGCCTGGAATGGAGGGGAGGGCAAGGGGAGGTCTCGAGCGGCGGCTGCCAAGTAACCCGCGGCATAAAGACGAGGGGGAGGGGGAGGCGGCATTGTTTGGGGCGAGGGCGGGAGCTGGGGAGTGGGCCGCCTCCTGTGCAGCCAGGGCCTGCTCCGGAGCCCACCCAGCCGGATTTGGGGAGGAAGGGGGCAGAAGTAAAGCTGCGTAGCCTGCCACCCTCCTTCCTAGCCTCTCTAGGCCCGAGTCTCTCTCGAGAATGAGGTGAAGGCTCAAGGCCGCACTCCCGGGACCTGCCACATCATTCCTCAGCCTGAAGCTTGGGATGCCTACCCCCGCCCCCCTACACACACTTCAGGCCCCAGAAGACCATCAAAGCTACCCTCCCCTCCCCTCCCCTCACCCCACCAACCACCAGTGCCCAGGACTTCTGCAAATCCCATTCGGATCTGGGAGCAGCTGATGAGGGGGTGGGGACAGGTTTCTGGTTGGGCCTGGTGTTGGAGGGAGGGATTTCTCTTTCTCTTTCTTCCTGGAAGGGGAGGGGAGAGCATGATTACTGAGGACCCAAGTTCTGTTCCCACTGACTCAGGGGGGAGGCGGCCCCAACCTCACACCTCCGTAGAGTCCTAGAGCCTAACCCCTGCCACCTCCCTGACCCCTGGGGCGTGGGCTCAGCATGAAACAGTGTCTGTGGGTGCGGAGAGCCCAAGACAAGGAGGAGGCACTGGGCTGTGGGTAGGCTCCTCCCCATGCCAGCGTGGGTGCTTCCAAGGGCTGGTGTGGGTGTGGGAGCTGAGGGACACAGGTGATGGTGGTGGGGGAGCTATCAGACTGTTGTGGTTGGGGTGGTGTGTAGACTGTGCTGGAACAGTGGCACTTGGATCAGTCTTGGCTCTGCTAAGCCTGAGACAGGACACCCAGGGAGTCCTAGATTGGGTCCATTTCATCTGCTTATTGGCCCTCGGCATCTAATGGGCACAGGCACTGGTGCGTACATCGGGGCCTGAATGGGCCTGATGACTGGGCCACAGATGAGGGCCTGAGTGAGTGTCTGGTTTATAATTAAGGCACTTGGGTGGGATGCCTGACTGAAGGAGAGGGCCTGGGGGACATGCTTGGCTGTACTGAGGGGCCTGAGGGGGTCTGCATACAGGGTCCTGGGTTGGGAAGACTCTTCTATACACAGGGGCCTTAATGGAGTTAAATGAGAACCTAGATCAGGCTGGTGGTGAATCCCTACACAGAAGGTGAAGGTGACAGGGGCCCCCTCCAAGCCAAGGGCTTCCAGGGAATAAAGGTGGTGCCCACTGCATGTACCCTGTTGAGTCTGAGGCATGGGGCTGAGACACTGAGTGCACATGGCATGATCCCTGCCATCCTTGAGTTTCCCCTGCCTCCTGAGCATTTCCAGGAGGCAACATGGAGTAGGGAACAGGTGTGGACTTGGGCCAGTGACTTGCCTCCTCCAGTCACAGTTTATGCCCCTGGAAAATGGAGATGGTGTTACCAAACCTTGTGGGGTTAATGTGAGGGTTAGAGATGATGTACCTAAAGGAACCTGGCACATAGATGCCCACAATACAGTGTTATTACCATTATTGTGGTTATGCTCATCAGAACCGGTGCCAACAGGGAGGTATGAAACATGGGGGAGGTGAGAACAGGGATTGGGAGCCAGTTTGCTTAAGAATGTAGACTCTGGAATCAAACATAACCTACTACTGTGTGACCTTAGGTATGTTGCTTAACCTGAGTCTTAAATGTTCCCATCTATAAAATGAGAATAATGCTAGAAATTATCTCATGGAGAGATTGGGATCATTAAATTAGATGAACACATGAAACACTTAGCCTAGGCCTGGGCACATCATTAGTGGTCAATAAACTCTGTTTTTTGTTGTTATTGTTTTTTAATTCCTTTGGAGGCCTGAGGAGGAAGTGTGATTAATTAGAATTTCAGGAGGTAAATATGGGACAGAGGGCCAGGGACAGGGGAGTTCTAGACACATATGAACCAGGGTGGATCTGGGGAGCAGAGCGGCCCCCGTGCTTGAGGGGGGCTGTGGCAGTAGAAGAGAGCCCCTGGGAGGTGGGTGCAGACGGCTGTCCAGCACACCATGCTGATGCGTGCCATCAGTGCTGTCTACACGGAGGGCAGAGAAGTGAATCGGAGTCACTACCTTCTGAGAGCTCCCGGCCCAATGAGGGAAGCAGATGTGCTCAGGGTAGGGAAACCCCACAGGTATACTGGTGATATGGTGGTCAGTGGGCTCTGCTTGTGGAAGGCTTCACAGAGGAGGAGGCGTTTCAGGTGAACCTAAAAGGACGAGTAGAAGTTGACAAGACTGGCACAATGGGCTATGTCTCTACATATGGCAGCCAGCCTAACTGTTGCCTCCCATGGACAGCTTCATCCCCCCTTGGGCTGGTGGGCCCAGTAATGAGCCTCTAATGAGCCCCTAATGTGCAGTCATGCATATGCAAATGAGGAGGAAGGGGCACCAGGCCAGTGCACTCCCCCTTTCCCTCAGGATGAGCATCAGCTGTGGGTGGGGCAGGGCGGGGGGGCGGGGGGGAGTGAGCTAAAAGCGGGGCCCTGACTAGAGAGGCGGCACTAGAGGGTGGCCAGGACAGGTCTCAGGTCTGACCACCAGACCTTAGGCCACAAGCAGCAGGGAGCATGTCCCTGAGTCCCCACTGGGCCTTGGGACAAGTCAGGGAGCCAAGGGACCAGGCCCAGATAATGCAGCTTTGTTGGCTGTGGTAGCGCTGCCTGGCACCCCGGGGCACAGCCTTCGACGTCTGGTTGTCTGGTCCGCCACCTCTCAGCTGCAGCTCTGTCCTGAGGCGAGCAGAGAGCCTGACCTGGTAGGGGGTAGAGAGCGTGGTGTTGCTATACCACCATCAGTGCTCCTCCCCACTTGTAAGAGGAGATGTGTCCCCTCACCAGGGATCGGTCCAACTTATCTCCCACTCCTAGTTTTTAAGGGCCTTCTCCGTGCCAGGTATAGTGCTTAGCATATCATGTGCATGGTCTCATTTGATTCTCAAAACAATCCCTGAGTAGGGCCTACTATTATCCTCATTTTACAGATGAGGATCAGAGAGGGAAGTCATTGGCCTAAAGTCACACAGCTAGGAACTGGCAGAGGCAGAATTTGAACCCAGGTTCATCTGACTCTAAAGCCTCTGCACCAAACCTCTAGGCTGAATTATCATGGCTGAGCCAGCCAGCGATAGACTCTGACTTGCTTCCCTGGCATGACTGATCTATAGGCATCTTGGTCTTAGGGACCCCATGATCCATTCTCTGGCAGGCAGAGGTAGAGCCAGCAGAGCCCTGGGTCCCCTGTGCATCTTGTCAGGTTGGAGTCTGAGGAAGTCAGACCAAAAGGAGGCCCTGGACCCAGGCAGTGGTGGCAGAGTCCAGCCAGCAGGCCATCCTCAGGCCTCTGCCCTGAGCCTCTAGGCCCTAGCGCAGGCCAACCTGCTGGGGCTGAGGGAGGGCCCTGGTGGGGCCTGGGCTGCGGGATGGGGTCATTTCCTGCCGCCTAAAATAACAGGAAGTGGGTGCTCCTGATTGGAGGCTGGGAACAATGGCCGCCAACCAGGCCAGAGAGCTCCTTCAGATCTGCTGTCTCAGTTGTGATCCAGCTTTATCTCTCACAGAGGCCCATGGCCTGGCCCCAGTGCCCTGCTGCTAAGGGCCTGTGGCCCAGGTTCTGAGGACTGTTGGAGCAGGCTGCCCCCTCCTCGTTCACTCTCTCTCAGAGCTGGCTCAGCTCTATTCAGGCTGGGAGTAATGCTGCCCCCTAAGGGTTCCCTCTGTCCCAGCCCCACAATCAGGCATCTCTCAGAATTTGTCCTTCCGGGGCCCGCCCCTGCCCCCAACCTCATCCTCCCAGCTCAGATCTCTCCAGGCAGGGAAACCCAGGAGGCTGCCCCCTTTGGGTAACAGAGTGAAGATACAGATTGTCACGCTGCATCGGGCCGGAACCCCAACTTTGATACTCACCAGCTATGTGACTTAAGCACGTGTCTTAAGCTCTCTGAATCCATTTCTTCATTTGTCAAATGGGGTAATAACGTCTAACTCATAGGGTTGTGGTGAGGATGATAGGGACTGATGTGTTTAAAGTGTTGAGCTGGGCCTGACATGGCGTTAGCCATTGCAGCTGTTAACTGGACTTGCCCTGGGCCCAGGTAAGGGAGTGCCCAGAAGGGGCAGGGAGGACTCGACCTGGATGAGGCTGTACAAGTATACTGGGGACACTGTGTCTGAGGGCTGTGTGGGTCTCTGAGGCTTCCTCTGTGCCTTGGAGGGGGTGCCTGGCTGTGTGTGTGTGTGTGTGTGTGTGTGTGTGTGTGTGTGTGCGCGTGCGCGCGGAGTTCCAAATCCCACGAAGTCTGATTCCTGTGTATATAGGAGAGAGAGGAGGGGGAAAAGAA